TGATTAATTTATTATATATTACTTTAGCGTACTTACCCTATGCCCTTAAATCTTTTGTCTCATTCAGGAGTTGTTTCGCAATTCCAGCGTATGATGACAATAATCTTCATTAATGTAAATCTTTTGAGTCCATAATTTCATCGTCGTGTATTTTTTTAATATCGTGGCTTTGTCTTTGTAGTTAAGAAAACTGACTAGGATCGATCTTTTTTTTTTTTATGTTTTCAAGTAATTTTTTTCCAACTCGATGTGATCTTTCAATTTCAAAGTTTCCGTGTAGCTGAAGTTTATTATTTAAAAACTCTCTTACTTTATTTTCACTCTCTTCCCAACTTTCGTATTCGTTAAATATATATATATATATATATATATATATATATATATATATATATATATATATATATATATATATATATATATATATATATATATATAATACCGTAATGGTAATAAATAAATACCGTGAGGCATCTCTTTTTAATAGGAAAGACAAAATACAACAGTGTTACACTTAAAAAGACAAAAACGTGGTCGTTATAAAAAGTATTTAAATATAATTAAATACTTTTTAAATTAAAATTTTACTTTATCTATTGATGATTTATAAATCATTAATAAATAAAATAAAATTTTATCTAATGATGATAAATTTAAATATTTTTAAAACAACCATGATACTCATTAAGTTTAAGGCTTTATTTAATCATTTATACAGATTAGGAACAAAAGTGGCCCCAAGAGAGAACCTTGAGGAACACCGCAGGAAATATTTAGAAGAAGGCTTTGGTTAGAGTTATTAATAAAAACAAATTGTTTGCGGTTTGATAAGTAATTTCGAAGCCATTTTATAGTTATATAGTTTATTCCGTAGTATTTTAGTTTTTCGACCAGGATTTCATGGTCGACAGTATCGAAAGCCTTCGACAAGTCAATTAAATCACCTAATGTTAATTAGGATCTTTAAAAGGAATTTGTGATTTTTCGTACAAATTAAATAATAGCATGTTTAGTGGAATTATTTTTTTTAAAACCAAATTGATTATTATATAAAATATTATTGGAAGCAAGATAATTGTATACTCTATAAGTATACAATTATCTTGCTTCCAATAATATTTTATAATTAAAAAGGATAGAAATAGGGCGATAGTTACTAATATAGTACCAGTCTCCTTCTTTCAAAATCGGAATAATTTTTGCATTTTTAGTCGATCAGGAAAAACTCCTTGGTCGACAGATGATTTAAAAACTTTAAAAAGAATATCTTTAAGGTGGTAGTCCTATGAATAAGGTGATTTTGAGAAATAAAAAGAAATCTAACATATTTAAAAGATTATAATGTTTGTTAGAGATAACTAGGATAATTAAAAAAAAAATTACTTTTGGTTGATCCATAATGGGGGAAAATGTGTCATAAAATCAGCATTATTGATCACTTTTCAAAATGCTCTAAATCACATTGTTTTTACCAGTTTTCAATTAAACTTTAGGAAATTTTTCAGAACACCCACATACACCATTTACCCGTCAGATTTTTTCTAAATTGAAATATTAAAAAAGCTATCAACTTTTTTGTATGAACCTTTTGATTTTCAATAGTTTTGAGGTATATTTTAAAACGTTTAGGTCTATAAATCAATATTTAGAGTGATTCATAAAAATTCTGACGGTTAAATGGAGTGCGTATATGTCGTGAACTTATCTTGAAAATTTGAAAGCAAATACTCTATCCAATATCAAGTTATGATGTTTTAAGTTTTCAAAAAACGCTCAAAATGAGAAGATGAGAAAAATACAAAAGAAAGTTTAAAAAGTAAAAATCTCAACAAATAAATTTTTTAAATCCTAATAACTTCCTGAAGCGATCTATGGGTTCTTTTTCCTTTAAAATGTCACAGTAACCCATTTGCTTTGCTCTGATGGATTTTCTTCGCCTGTTTACATTGTCAGTAGCTTTTTTAGTCATGCGTTTTACGCGTGATACATTGAGTTTGTTTGCAATTTGGTGCAAAACTATTCCCGTCAATCCAAAATATTCTAATATGCCTAGGATTCCATTTCTGCAATTGTTAAAATATATAACAGCTAAATAGGTACCCATTTCTATGGTTTCTCTTCCAACAAATATAGACTTTGGTACACGAGACCATATGATTGCATTCAAAGCCTCGTTTGCGTTTTGTGTTTTGCCATGCACACTTTTCTAATAGTTCATCTTTCATTAAAGCTTTAAAAGTTGGAAAGATTTTTTATCCACAGAGGAATTAAATTTTGTGACCTATATGTCTTATTTGCTTTCGACCAATACTTGCACCAACTTCTAGCATCTCTTGGGCAAAATTTATGACAATCGAAAGGATCTGGTAGGTCAGTGAAATGAAAAAGTATTGACAATATTGCCTTCTTCATGGCATACTTTTTATTATTATATTATGGCCTGGCTATTATTACGAATAGCCAGGTCATAATAATTTTGCATAAAGTCAATGCACTTTTTCGTAAGTTTGCCCTTACCAGATAATACATTTAGGATGCAACAAACAAAATAGCAAACATAAATATGAAGCTATGTAAGTGTGACTTTCAATGTAACTTCCCCACTCGTGTTTGTAGTTTTAAAGTATACTTTTTAGAAATTCTTTTGAATAGAGCAAAATGGATTTTTTGTCTGACAAAAAAAAATGAGTTAAATGAACTACTTGAAGGAATTATATTAGACCATAATCATTTTGAACGGTAACTAAGGACGTTGCTATGTAAATTTTCAAAAATGGATAGCCTAAAAAGTTATCAAAACTGACAAAAAAAGGTACGTTAGGTGATTAATTTTTGGGTGAATAAAAAAAAAAATTCCCAAAAAATCATTATTTCATCATTTTTTTATAGGGCTACCACCTTAAAATGGTCAAAACACTCGATAATTACGTCATCATTATTTTTTTAAGGCGATTTCGAATTCATCAAAAGATAATTCTGAGTATATTTCTTTGGAACAGCTGCAATCATTCATTGGTACTAAGAAATTATTAAAGGCGACTGGGATAAAGTTTTTTGTTTCATCTAAAAAATTTAGCAATTTTTCAAAATTGCATCTGAGGCTTCTAATATTTATGTAAACAGTTTTAACTTTATGCGCATTTCTGTCATTAAAAGATTTAAAAAGAAATTCTTCCAATTCAATTAGGAAATGATAGGAGCAGTAAACGAATGATAGTTCTGAATGAACGATAGTTCATCAGGTTGATGTTTTCATTAGTCATAAAGTTATTTATTTCAGTAAAATTAAGGCTCGCGAGTTTTAAAATACTTTAAAATTAGATATGCTCTGGAGTTAGCTTGATGTACAGCATTTGCAATATGTCCATTGTCATTCCTAGATCATTTGGGTTGGAAGACCAAACTATAGTAAATCCCCTAAACTATAGTTACTTTTTATTCCTACGCATAGTCAAGGAGGTGCAATCCTGTGTGTGAAACACTTAGTGCTAGCAATTTTTAGTTGCCACGTTTCAGTCCAGAGTACGAACCTATTTAGAACAAGAGCTAAACCTCGGCTATGGTCATGATAAGAACTATGGTCAAAGTCATGATAAGAACTATGGTCAATGTCATGATAAGAACTATATAGATTGATATCGTCCGCAAAATATTTTAAAGAACAATTAAGATTGTTTGTTGTATTAGATAAGTCGTTAATATATAATAAAAGTAATGTTGATCCTAACACACTGTCCTGTGGAACGCCACTAATAATGCGGATTTTATTTGATAGTGAGGTATTGATTTTAACCTGTTGATATCTATTTGAGAGAGAAGCTTTGATCCAATTAAGAAAGTTACCTCTAATACCGTATGATGCAAGTTTAACTAATAGTTTGCGACAGAGTCAAACGCCTTTTGGAAATCAATATATAACACATCCGTTATTAAATGATTATCAAGTACAAAGCTCCAATCATTTACAGACTCTAAAAGATTTGTAAACGTGGAATGCTTCTTGAGGAAACCATGCTGATTAGGAGTAATTAAGTTATAAAAATATTCTATAATATGTGAGTTATATTTTCCATAACGCGACAACAAGTGCATGTTAGTGGGATGGGCCTATAATTATTTTAATTAGTTGGTTGACTTAAAGCTGCTGTAGAATAACCAATCACAATCTAGAAAGATCCTGTGGCATAAAATCGAAGTGCGCATAAATACTTAATAGATTGGTGGAACACAAAAACTTTGATTTGATTTTGGTCGTAAAAATATTTTCAGCAAATTTTCCAAATAGAAAATAAAAGCTCGACGAAACCTTAACCTTTGGCCTAAGTCAATATCATCATAAACATCAAGCGGTTTGGTTCAATTTTGTTTGCGATATACAGAATACAGTTATTCCAGTTGTGAATAATGGCGCAAGTTGTACAATGCTAGACACTGCAACTATATTAGAAAATGGGAACAAAGACAACTCAGGATAAACTGAACGATCTACTGTGCAACATAATGATATATTAAAAAACGAGCGATCTTTGTCAGGAAAAAACAACTCACTTCAGCTCTCCGCCTGCCAACTTTTGATATGAAAAGTTACTTAACTGAGGAGAAATTTAAACTTAGGGAAGAAGTGCTAAAGCTACAGACCGAAAGAGAGTACTTTATTTCTAAAAGGGAGTTAATAGAGTTAGAAGAAAGAAAAACATCTGTAAAAGAAAAAATACTTTTATTGAAAGAAAAGTTATTAAAAAAAAAGTTGTAGAAAGGCACGTTAAAACATTATAACTTTCTTGTCAATTTTTGTAACACCATTTTTGTAAAATTTATTTTTTGTATAAGAATAAAATAACTATTTATTTATAACTATTTATTTATTTTTATAAAATAATTATTTATTTAATATAAAGGTTAGTATTAAGTAAAAGTAATTATTTATAACTTCCATTCGGTTTTTCAAAATGCATGAGTTAAACCCGTAACAATCAAACAGATTTAATAAAAATATTGGAAAGAAGAACATCATAACTTTTATTAAATATAAAGTTTTTAAAGAGTTTTAACGTTTTTGGATTTAGTAACATTGAGTGATCGGCGTTTTTATTTAACTTATGCAGATATGTAAAAAAAAAAAAAAAGTTTCAAAACTTCTGTTTTCTTATTTGCAGGTATATTTATAATCATTTTTATCGCTATAATGATAACCACCTAGTTTTTGAACGCGGAGAGATTTTCTAAAAAAACTTAAATTTTATCGATGAATATAAGACTATATGAGAATAGTTCAAAAAAATGTTTAATCACATTGTTGCCCTCACGTTTAGAGTAGGAGTAAGGGGAGGGGAAAAAGATTTTGCAGTTTTTTGCTTCCAGGCTCCGATCATCCAATTTTTTGCATATGTTTATACTTATTTCAAATTAGTGTCCTTATTTGAAATAAGTATAAATATATAAATGTTTGGAGTTTGCGCCATGTCTGGAAGTTAACTATCTCAATTTAGAGTATTACGCTTACTAATAAAATTCTCAATTAAAACCGTTTTAAAACTTAACTAACCTGATATTTTAAACAGTTTTGTTTTTTTATTTTATTCAAGAATAAATTAAACTTTATGTATAGTCTTAGAAGAATTTCATTAATGAAAATCTGTTGCCTTTTATTTACTTAAACAATGTTTATAAAACTCGTTTAATAAATAATATTAAAAAATTTTCTAAAATAATATTTATTTCTATGTTGATAAATGTCTATGAACAGTGCGTTTCTTTTATTGATTATAATTAAAAATAATTTTTTTTATAAAAAAAAACTATTGTGTAGCACAATATAAAATTAGTGAAAATAATTTAATGAAGAGAATTTTAAAAATAAAAAAAGATAGCAAATGTTTAACTTCCAGACCTCCTTTTTTTAAATCAGCCTTTAGACTTTAACTTCTAAATTTAGCTTCCAGGCTTACTAACTATTTTATATAAATTTATTTACATTTATTTTGTTTATATTACATTAAATTTTATCTGAATAATATGTTTTTAAAATTAGGGCTCAAATAAGATGATTTCTATTTGGAAGATTCAGCAACTGTTTATTGCGTTGAATATTTTGACATCTACGCATTCATTTCGAAAACATTCAAGGATAACAAAAGAAAAAAGACCGCTAGAATGTAAGAATTATAATTCTATGTTTTATTAAGTTTATGGTGAAGGTTAAGCAAGCCAACAGAGCTGATTTTTTGGGATGTTTTTGTTGCAAAAACACTGCAACCTAACAAATTTTTGCGAATACTCTAAGACAAGTTATTTAACCTAAGTTCTTTTTTGAGAAAATTTTTTTTTAGCTCTTGGAAAAAATAAATTAATTATTCCCCAAATGAAAAACATTTGTGTTCCTATGTTAGAAATTACTTAGTATTAATTAGTATTAACTATACATCAATACACAATTCTCTGATTACAGAAAAGCGTTGCGCACGCATGTTAAACATCATGCGCAAATTTTAAAGTAAATTTTTTTCTGATATTTTTATATGAAGTTCTGTAAGAGCATAGCAGATAATAGGGAAATTTCTACTAACAGTGAAGTAAATAAATGGAAATGGTCAATATTGACTTTGTATCTTTCATGAAACAAACTGTAGTTTTCACTAATAGGATAATAATCAGGACTTTTTTTTAGTTAAAAACTCATTATGACTTTCCCGCATAACGTACATTGAATCAAAAATAAACAAAACAATTAGCATGATGTACAGAATTATTCCACTCAAAATACTCAAAGTCTTAAATAATATACTTGAGCCTAATTTATAGCTGCATTAAGATTGAGTGAGCTAGCACGCAAACTGCGTGCAAATCTTTAAAAAATATTTAGTGTGAAAAACATACTAAAAGAATTATATATCAATAAAAATAGATTTGAGCATGTAAAGACATGAGGGAAATGTAAATGATGAATGTGAATGAGATAGAATAGATTAGAACTCATAACTTTTATGTACAATCTATTTTTTTAAGATAAAAATATTTAAATATTAAAATTGTTATTACAGTTTTAATATTTAAAGAAATTATTATTAGTTTATTTAAATAATAAATTGAAAATGATTGTAGTGCATTAAAATAGTAAATTTTTAATTCAAAAAATCTTTAACTTCCTTTTAACAAATTTATTCATTTCAATAAATCTTATTAATTTATCATAAATTCATTTTTAAACACGTTTTAAAATCTCAATTTTTAAAGAAAAAACAAATGTTTTAATGCTTCAAGTTTCAAATGCTTTTTAATTTGTTTTTTATTATTTTTATTATAAATAATCTACAACAGAAGTAGTTAGCTTCTATGAACTGTACATTTAACGATGCCCTGCTACAGTAGACTTTATTTTAGTGGAGCAACAAAAATTATTGTTTTTAAATTCATTGACAGAATGTGAGGAAACCAAAAAAAGGCAAAAAAAAGTCAATTAATTTGAATATTTTTGTATATTTAAAATACTTATGTCTTGAAAAAAGACTTTTTTTGTGAAAAAAATGTTTAGTTTCATACGGGTAAGGTGGTGGTTTGGTGCCCCCTATGTCCATCCGATACACCCGGTGGTTAGAGTTAAACAAAAATTTGTAGCCTACTCTCACACCTATCTTTTGACACTAAGATATTTGTATTTCAATAAGAATTAATAAAGTTATGACAATTTAAGTGAAGAAAAACATAATTTTGAAAAATCGGTACTTAAACTGTCATAACTTTTGAACCGATTGTTCGTTTTTGATAATTAATAATTCACCTTTAAAATACTGTATTGGTCCTCTTTCTAATGATATATAACAGTAGAATATTTAAACAATTTGAAATTTTTACTTACGTACCTAATATATAGTTAGTTAGGGTAGATTAGGGTAATATGAGCACCTTAAGCAAAAGCTGGAATATTTTCAAAAATAAATATGCTGGATCCAAAATTTTTGCAAATAAACAATTTTTAGGGATCCCTATTCATAATCTATTTAGATATTTGGGCATTTGACATTTTTTCTTAAAACCACAGAGGTTTTAAAAAAGTAGCAAAAGTGCTCGTATTACCCTGACCCCTTGGTAATATGAGCACTTTAAATTAGCTCAAAAAAATAGCATTAATTAAGTAAAAAAAGACCAACCTGCTTAATAGAACTAATTGTTGGAATATAAGGATTCGTGATTAACAAAACATATCATTGAAAGATCAAATTTTAAGCTAGATTTTGTTGAAACAATACTACTATGTTTTCCGCCAAAAAAAAAAAAAAAGAATTAATACATTGTTTTTTCAATTTTGTTAACTCAAACATTTGAACAATAAAAATTAAAATTTTTTAGATTTAAGTTACAGAAAAATATTTAGTATTGCTAATATATTAAATTTTTTACTATGTTTTGTTTTTATTCATGAAAGCAATTAAAAACCACTGCTATTTTAGGACTTTAAACTAAGCAATTTCAATGAAAAGCACTGGGTAATTTGAGCATGCTCATATTACACAAAAATGGTATCTTTAAATAAAGTCAAAAATAAATGTTTCTATGCATTATTTTTCAAACAAAAATGAATTGGATTTTTAGCTAATATATTTTTCTTTATGAAAAAATTAGTTTCATTATTTTAGCACCAAAATATCGCGCCACAGAATTATTCACGCGTGATGATTTTTTTTTAAAAAGCAAAAAATTTAAAAGCGTTTTAATTAGATGATATCCGTTAATTACTGCGTATAAATTTACGCTAATTGTACTGATTCCTGTTATCACCACATAAAGCCGATTCGAAAAACATAAAGCAACTTTAACTTCACTGCTTACATCTAATAAATCTTTAAGTATGCTCATATTACCAAATCTTTAAGTATGCTCATATTACCCTAATCTACCCTACAATTTTTGACATCGTAAAATTGATATATGAACAAAATGTGTATAATAATTGGAATAATTATATATTAATTTCATCAATAAAGATGAGACATAAATATAAGTTTATGTATAATCTTTTTGTGGCCTGGATTTTTTGCTGGCCTTAAGGCATGTGCCTTATTTGCCTAGACGTTAATCCTGTATAGGCTCATTTAATTACTTACAATTTTCAACTTTAAACGTTTTTTATATTTCATTTTCATTCTTTAATTAAGTAATGTATTAAATGAGCCTATATATTAGTTGATTAAAAAATAAAAATTAAAAATATGTTATTATATATATATATATATATATATATATATATATATATATATATATATATATATATATATATATATATATATATATATATATATATATATATATATATATATATATTATTTATTTACACTTTTGCCGATAAAAAAAAATTTACAGTCGTAACTTATGAAAAAAATAATTACATGACCGGGGCTAAAAGAAGACAAATTTAGTCTTATCATTAAACCCCAAAAAATGCGTCATTACTAGACAAAATATAGTTTAACAATAAAATATAGTTTCAATGTATATATCTCTGATTTACAGTCATGTGCATGAAAATAGCAGTGGCACAAAAAATTATAAAAAAACCTTATTAAATTTAATGATATGCATAATTTCGGACCGTAATTGTTAATTTTTCATAATTAAGTGTTATCTGACACTATTTAGTCTAAAAAAAGCTTTTAAACTTAAATGAACAATATCATACTACGATTTTTTTAAAAAAGGTACTTTTATCACATTTAATGAATGCAGATTTACCATTAAAAAAGTAAATAAAATATAACATTGATGAAAAACTATTTATTCATCTTTTGAAAATACATCTAATACTTAGTTCCATGACCCTTATTTTTCAATACTGCTTTACATCTTCGTGGCATTGACTCGATTAGATGACGACATCTTTCTAAGGGAATAGCTCTCCAAGCTGCTTCAACTGCTCTTCAGAGTTCTTCTTTATTGGCTGGTCTAGACAAAGATACTGCTCTTTTAACATCCCCCCACAGGTTTTCTATCGGGTTCAGGTCTGGGGATTGTGCTGGCCAGTTCATTACCTCAACCTTATTCTCTACAAACCAATTTTTAGCTTTACGAGAGGTGTGTTTAGGATCATTATCCTGCATAAAAATCCACTTCAAAGGCATTTCTTCTTTTGCATATGGTAACATGACTTCTTGCAGTATTTTAACGTAAGCAGTTGCATCCATGATGTCTTTGATCCAAAAAATAGGGCCCAATCCAAACCAAGAAAAACAACCCCATGCCATCACCTGGCAGCCACCATGTTTTATTGTCTTGGTGGTATACTTTATATTATTTTCTGTTCGTGGGGTCTTCGTACAAACTTTTCGTGAATACCTGGATTAAATAAAACAATTTTAGTCTCATCACTCCAAAGAATATTACGACATTTCGATGATGGCCATTCTTGGTGCTCTTTAGCAAATGCGATTCGATTTTTAATCTGTCTCTTATTTAGAAGTGGAGTTTTTCTGGGCCTTCTGGCTTTTAAATTGGCTTTTATCAAACGTGTTCTCATTGTCGAGGACGATATTGGTAAATTTAATTCCGTTTTTATGGCTGTGGAACTCATAAAAGGATTTATCTTCGCACATCCAATAATTTTACGGTTCGTTTTCAATGACGTTTTAAATTTTCCCCCACGCAATTCCGCTTTTTGTGTCCATTTTTTGGCATTGGAAATCATTTTTGCAGAACATTGTAAAGCATCTTGGATGAATTTGTAAGTTTTACCATCTTTTAACATATTTAAAATTATTTGACGCTTCTCATTGGAACAATGTTTTGCTCTACCCATTTTAACTGTAATAAAATTGTGAAACTTAATAAAATATCGTTTAATTTTAATGAACAAACACTTACCTTAATGTATAAAAAAAATTGATGGTAAAAACAACTTTTAAGGCACTAATAGAAAATAAAGTGTATATTCACTGCTATTATAACGCACAGTTAATAAAGCAAAATTTTATAATTTAATTTAAATTCTGATACATGTATGTATAAACAGCAATATTGCCAACCTCTTTATATTTAAAAACCCTAACAGAAAATATTTAGAGAATAAAATATACAAAATTAACCATCAGTAAAAAAATTAAATGTATTTTATAAATAATTTTCTCCCACTGCTATTTTCATGCACATGACTGTATATTATAAAAGAAAATTTCAATATATCGCATATCGTTTAAAATTTATAGTTTTTCAAAGAATAAGATTTAACAATTGTTTTGTAAAATAAAAAAAACAAAATTTAATAAAATATTAAAATGACAAAAATAACATTTAAGACTTGGTTTGAAAAATAAGAAGATATGATTTTATATAAAAACATTTTATTGATAGAGCATTTTATAGTTTAACTTATTTAATTATATTTATAATACTTTTCATTGCCAATTAAGTAAAAGCAAATAAACAGTATAAAATAAAAGTAAAAGATTAATAAATAACGCAAAAATAAAAAATAAAAAATAAAAATACAACAACTGAAGTGTTTCACAAAATGAAAGTAAAGCGTATGTAGAAAAAATAATTTTAATGTATCGCGCATAATTTTACACTTCAAAAGGCTATTTGGATTACAAAAAACAAACTATATACAGTTAGATAAATGTTAAATTTAGTACCAATAAAACATGCAAAAAAAAAAAAATTTTAGGAGAATGTTTGTTTTTTTTGGTGAATCTATTCGCACGCACGTGTGAATAGACTATATCTTATTGTAGTCTATTCGCACATTAAAAAAAAAAAAAAAAAAAAATTCAAGTTACATTTTTAACATGAAATCTCTCATAAACAAAAAATGTTAATAACTAAAATGATATATTTTGAAAGCAATTTAATTTTTTTAATTAATTATAAGAAAAATAAATAAAAATACTTAAACATAATTGAATTTTATTCAAAAAACGAAAACGTGCCAGCAGATAAAATAAACATTATAAATACTTCTATTTTTCAGTCAAAAGATTGCCTGCCCAAGCTAAAACTCTCGTCATTGTATTTATACTACACTGTGTCTATCCATAGATAAGCAGTCGATATCTATATACCCTACGGTGCGCATATCCTTCAAAAGTCCGCGAATATAATTATATATAGCCTATTCGCACGTGAAATACAATTGAATAGGCACTCCATTTTTTAATGTTAAAGTTACATATTGTTTCATTTTTTATTTCTAGTATTAAATAAGTAAAATATGCAAAAAAAAATAAAAAATTTAGGAGAATGTTTGTTTTTTTACGTGTATGTTAAATTTATATATTGTATCATTTTTAGTATCAAAAAAGTAAAAGCCATTTTAATAAAATTTTATAAAAACACAAAAGTTTGTTAAGACATTTTATACAATTTGGAAGTTTCCCGGAACGGGAAACGAGATATTGATAAAGTTCAAAATTATCCTCGCTAAGCTGTTTAGAGGTGGACACCGCGGCTAGTTTTAAAGAATGGTTTTTACATATTTTTTTAGAACTTTTTTTGTTTTTTTACGTTGTATTATAACTATATTTACTATTGTATTATAACTATAATTATTACAGCTTTAAAAACTTAAAATAACAAATTAAAAATTTTGAAAGTTGTTGATAGTTTTTTTTTTCAATATAAAGTAATACTTCGATTTCAAAGTTTTTTGGGCTTTACTGTAAACTCAGAGGTATTTGATCATAATAAGTTGAATTTTTTTTTTATCAAACTCAAAAAGCTAAAAATAAGTAGATTTCTTAATGGAAATAATTATATATATTTATTCAAGCGATCATAATGCTAACCGGGCCTACGCGGACAGTTGCATCAAATCTTTTTTTGTTTATGCGACACAATGGTCGCAAAAAGTGACCAATGGAGCCGTCCAGTTTCGTAGATCTGGGAAATGTGATAATAAAAACAGTTAGTAGATAGTGTCCTTGAATAAAAAATAAAAATCATAAAAAATATAAAATGAGTGGTAAGACTTTTGTGAAGGTGAAGAACAAAGTAAAATGCTCGTGGAGCAGGGAGAGAAACAACTAACACTCTAGTCACTCTGTGTGTAGATTATATGCAGCCAAGAACAAATATTTGATATACTGATTTTAGAGACTGTTGATGTCTACAGGTGATGGTGTAGTGCATTAGTACGTACCTGTTGGTTGTCTAGTATCGTTTTGTTATGTTTTCGTTCACTTTCAAATTGGATGAATAGAAAGCTAAACGCACTCACTTCTTGCGCTTATGGGCTAGCACATAAAAGCCAAACGTAAGACATACAAAATGGATTTTCAGCGAGCGCTGATCCGACGTGCATTGTGGAGCTTCCGACTGAACGTGTGCGTGAGTGTCAGCGTAGTCATCAGATTATTAATCGCCATCTAGCGGGAATTTATTTCCCTATTTCCCGTTTTGTCGTTGTGGTGTACATTAGAAAAAGTCGGGGCTCATCAGCTACAAAAAATAATGTTTTAAGAGCGATTTTAGAAAATAAGGTATAAACATTTTCTAATTTATTTAAAATGCATCAATTTTACCTTAAGACGTATAACATCAGAGCTGTGGCTAGGCTACCCCACACACCCCAGATCTCCCATGAATGAGATATGGAATGCTAGATCTACCCTTGTTAATAATGCTGTGGAAAATTTTTTAAAAGTCTTTAGAGCCTAACTTCTGTGATAAGATGTGAGATTTAGTGAACTGAGAATAATGGAGTTTAGCATCAGAAAGCACTTTTTTACATCGATTTCTTGCAATAATAAATAGCCGTTTGTTCTCAAGAGAGTTGCTCTTTTGAAAAAGATGAAATAAATGATTACGATTAGATATAGCAGCCGCACAAGTAGGAGAAAACCATGGAGTAGAATGAATCTTGACTTAAAACCGACGAGAAGGAATAAAAGCTTCCATTCCAGCCTAAATCCAGTAAGTTACGTAGAAGGCACATTTATCAGCTGAAAGAGAAAAAACATCAGCCCAAGGACCATCACAAAGAAAATCACGAGAAGAATCCCAGTCAACTTTAGGGTAGTAGTAGGTGGTACGATGATAAGGTGAGCCCATAAAAGAAATACGAGAAGAAAGATTTATAGATATCATTGCATGGTCAGAACCACCTAAGGGAGAAAAGGGAGAAACTGAACATAAGCTAGGTTCAGAGACAAGAAATAAGTCAAGGAGTGAAGATAAATGATTAGGATTGTCAGGAAAACGAGTCACAAAGTTAACTATCTGAGTAAGAGATTAAGAAACGCAGAAGTTAAAGGCTTTAGTGCCAGCAGGATCAGTGGTGTTAGAGCCAAGCCATTCAGTGTGATGGGCATTAAAATCACCAACAACAACAATATTGGCAGAGGGGTAAATCTATGAATGAGTCGTTTCCTCTGTTCCCGAGTCGCTAACTTTTACTCCTGGTAAAAAAAAAACAATAAATGAATGTAAAGACTATTTAGTAGGTAAATGATATCATCTACAATCTGTTTTTATTTTCACATCTACCAGGTCTACGTAACTGGACGGCTCTGTTAGTCAATTTTTGCGATCTTTGTGTCGCATAAACAAAAAAAATAATTATTAGTATTTATTCGAGCGATCATGATGCTAACCGGGCCTACGAGGATAGTTGCATCAAATCGCTTGGGTAAGTTGAATCACACAATACAATCGATTTCTGCACTTACTAAGTTATTGCTAACGTAATAGACGTTTAAGAAAATTCCTTTTTAAATTAAAAAAAAATTTCTTCAGTCTTTAAAGTCTTTAAATGTATTTATCAGTTTACTAAACAAGGCATAGTGAAGTCAAAAGTATTGGAGCTATAGCTAAAACACTGCTTTCCTTTATTGTAATTAGAAATTTTTATTTGTCAAAAAGAAATTACAAGAAATTTTTCTGTGAACTTTGCGAGGCTAATCGAAACGAAGTGTTGTGTTGCAACTTAACTCGTTTTACAAAAACAAAACAAAAAAACAAAAAAATGTCGCAACTTGTCTCGTTTACTCGCAACAGAACGGAGTAAGTTACGGCATTTATTTTTTTATTATTTTTCTTTCACTATTGCGGAATAACTAAGTTTTATTAAACATTTATCAATCTTAGATTAAAACGTCACTACTGTAAGATCTGTTTTATAACCCTGAAAAAAAACTAAAAAAAATCAAAAAGTTTACGGAGATAAATGTAGTTTTATAAGCTTTGTTGGAATTAGCCCTGGTCTTCCCTACCATCTGCCATTATAAAATAGTTTTGCTTGTTATATATTGCTGAACATTTTTTTAGGTGAGTTAGGAGCATTTACGTTTCCGGATGAAAGTGAAGAACACGAAGGAACGTGGCTACAATGGCCACATGAATTCGAGTACGGGATTGAGTATAGAGAAAATTTGGATGATATTTGGGTACAAATGACAAAAGCACTTTGCGTAAATGAAAAAGTTCATATAATTGCTTATAACAAAGAACAAGTTAAAAGAATAAAAGAATTGCTTCAAAATGAAACAGTACCATTGACTAATGTGGACTTTAAAATATATAAAACAAACGATGTTTGGGTAAGAGACAACGGACCAATTTTTGCAAAAGATAGTTTGGGACGTTTAGTTATTCAAGATTGGAAATTTAATGGATGGGGTGGAAAAACAACTTATAAAAAGGACGATGCAATTCCAACTTTAATAGGTAAAGACATTAACATGAAAGTTGTCAGTGTCGGGATGGCAAACGAAGGAGGAGCTGTTGAGCTTGATGGAAACGGAGCTTTATTAGCAACTCGAAGCTCCATAATTAGCCAGAAACCTGTCAATTCAGTTAGAAACCCTGGAATGACTCAATCGCAAGCAGAAATTTACTTTTCCCATTATTACGGTGCTTCAAAATTCATTTGGTTAGATGGAGGGTTTCCAAAAGGGGATATCACCGACATGCACATTGATGGAATAGCCAGATTTGCACCAAAAAACAAACTAGTAACAATGAGTAGAAAAGATTTAATTGAATGGGGTCTTTCCAAAAAAGATATCAACACTCTATATCTTGCTTCAAATGTAGATAACAAAGTTTATGATAAAGTTTACTTGCCTTTGTCAAAATATAATGTGAATACTACAGACGGAGAGAGTCTTGGGTACAAAGGCAGTTATATCAATTATTATATTGCTAATGGAGTAGTCTTAGTTCCTAATTATGACGATCCCAATGATGACAATGCAAATAAGATCATTCAAAAGCTGTACCCTGAGAGAAAAGTAATTGGTATTGATATAAGAAATTTATATAAAAATGGTGGAATGATTCATTGCGTAACACAACAACAACCAGCACATTCGTTGTAAGGTTCTACTTAACTTGTCAAAACATTCACTTAATAACGTCCAAGTGATTTACATATTACATATTACGTAAAACAATATTTTTTTTTTGAAATTTTTAAGATTTGGATTGTCTTTAAATTGCGTCATGCAAATTTAGACCATTTTTAACACCTACCCATTTATGACCCCATGTCACAGCAGCTTAACTCTTTAGTAATAAGTCCCGCACGAGGTGTCACAAAATCATTAAAACCTCCCCCCCCTCCTCCTTAGAGCGTGACGTAATTAATGGACAACCCTAAACCTCTACAAAAGTTTTTGTTATTACTTTGTTATTAATATGATTTTTATTTAAATGTATGATGCATAAATTTTTTTTAAGTTCTTTTTATATTTTATAAACAAATAACTTTGCACATAAAAATTGTGAAATTTTGTAAACCAAAAGTGTTTTACTCATATAAATTTAAAAATTTTGATAAAAATAAAATAACATTAAGTAATGAAATAATAATATTTATGAATAATAAGAAATAGTAAGAAAAAGAAAAAATATTTGACTTTGTATCATGTCCCTTATTTGCCTACGCAAACGCACACGCTCACGCTTACACACACGTGTTTGTGAACGCATAATAAATAAATAAAAAGATATTGTAAAGAAAATTTAGTAAAAAACAGTTTGTTCATTTGTTATAATACTTATTATTAAGTATAATTAATAAAGTTAAAACTTATTTCATAAATAATCTTTGAAAATATATACACCGCCATTTTCTATTACTTCTTGCCAACGCAAGAACAGGCACCGTTAGCGTAAAAATCTTTAAGCTTTAAATGAAAGTAAAGATTGAGGTTATTTCGGAGTGCCTCCTTGGTTGAATTTATAATTGCGCAAGCTTTTATTTACTAAGTTGGATAAGAAAGTCAAGTGAGACTACCCAGCTAAGCTTCATTAGTTTTTTGCGTTGATTTTGCAAGTTTATGATGAGCGTTGTTATAAGGAAAGTAAACTTTAATGCGCCCTGGGTATTTGTTGCAATGTCGTACATGATCTTGAACGTCGTTCATCATTTGAAAGATACAGAAATTGCAATACGGGAATTTTAATTGGTCTTATAATTGGTCTAACATATAGATCAAATTGTTGTTTTGCTTTGATGATAGTGATTTGTATAAATATATTTATCATTATTTCGTTATTTATCATTCGCAAATATAAATTGCCGTGAACGGACGTGTTTTATTTACAAAGCTAATAACGTCAAAAAAATTTACAATTTAGACATTACGACTTTTACGACACTAAAAAAAATTTTAGATAAATATGTACATGAGATATACATGAGAACACAATTAGGAAAATTTTCTGATAAAAATTGTAGAATAGATAGAGAGTTATAATTACAAGTTAAACCAGATAGCGGTTTTGAAACAAATTTAACTAATAAAATGAAAGATAAATTGGCTGAGATTGAAGACTGAAGTAACAGAAATCATTTAAGAATAGCTGGGATTAAAGAATCTGTGGATGAAAGTTGGGATGATTGAGAAAAGAAGGTTCACAATTTGATTAAAGCAAAACTTGAACTTCAAAGTGATTTTATGTAGAAAGTGCACACTGTGTAAATAAAATTTTGTAAAAATGTTTTTAAAAGCAGCCGTGGCGCAGTGGTAACCAAGCCGGCAAATAACGTTGAAATAACGTTGAAATATCGTTGAAACCTAACGTTGAATTTACGTTGATTTAAAAGAATGAAAGTTTTTTTCAGTTTAGTTTGAAAGTTTAGAATGAAAGTTTTTTTCAACGTTGATTTATCAACGTTAAATCAACGTTAGGTTCAAACATTATATCAACGTTGATTCAACGCGAAAAAGCGTTACAATAACGTTGAATTTACGTTGATACAACGTTTAAAATGATAGTTTTTTTAACGTTGATTTATCAAAGTTAAAACGACTGTAAAACACTTTTTCATCATTAAAACGTTCTATTTATGTCAAAATGTATATATGCATGTAAACGTGCTATGTGCGTCAAAATGTGATCACCATCAAAACGTATTATGCATGTACATTAGTGTTGCTGTACATTATCAAGGTATATTAGGGATATTAAATCTATTCATAGTCTATACTTAAACTATTTAGAAATTTTTCAGTTTAGTTTAGTTAAAATAGCTAGGTATGATTAAAGAAAGAGATAAAACTTGTTTTATTGAAAAACATATTTGAATATTACATATATTTACATATAATTGAATAAAATCTACACAAATTTCTTCTCTTTTCCACCACATTTTAGAAATTTAGCGTAATTTAGAAAGTCAAACAACCGAGGTTTCTTCTGGTCCATTGAATACAATAGAAGAAGCTGTAAATAAAAAAAATATATACAAAAAATCAATAAGGGAAGATTTAAAAAATATATAATTAATGGAAAAGTGTTACAACTTATGAAGGTATATCTTTTTCAACGCCATATAGATTAGTGTTCTTAAAACATATATATATATATATATATACATATATATATATATATACATATATATATATATATATATATATATATATATATATATATATATATATATATATATATATATATATATATATATATATATATATATATAATATAAAACATATATTTATATAATATAAAACATATATTTATATAATATAAAACGTATATATATATATATATATATATATATATATATATATATATATATATATATATATATATATATTATATGGCCTTCACGGATATGAAGGGCAAAGTTGGAAAATATTATATATATATATATATATATATATATATATATATATATATATATATATATATATATATATATATATATATATATACATATATATATATATATATATATATATATATATATATATATATATATATATATATATATATATATATATATATATATATATATATATATATATATATATATATATATATATATATATATATATATATATAATATTTTCCACCTTTGCCCTTCATATCCGTGGAGGCCATATAACTTTTCGAAAATACTCTGAATTTTTAAAAAATAATATAGCTGTTAGTAGGTATTAATTACTTTTTCAAATATTTAATTTAAATAAAACAACCTTTTTTCAAAATAAATTAATAATCAAAATATAAAATATTTCTAGCATTGAAAAATAATTTTCGGGGTAGCCACATAAAATTTTTATAAGAAATTTTATGTGGCCATTTATTAATGGTTTAATGTCCATGTTTAAACACTTATGGGCCTTGGACAAAGATCAAATAATATCATTTTTTATGTTAAATAGCATGCATTTGCTGAAGCAATTTTTTACAATTCTATGCACTTTTAGGCATTAACCAGTTTTGCAGACCGAGAATTGGTATTTTGAACATTATACTTCCATCAAAAATTAATTAGAGGATAATAGAGGTTTTAGAAGTGGTTTTTAAAAAAAAAGGACTTAAGAGGATTTTAGAGGAGCTGTGGACACCCTGATTATAAATGCGGTAAGAGTCCAATACTGTTTTTGATTACCTCAGCATAATTTTGTGTATTTTATCTTTAGAAGACGTTTTACCAATTATCTGTAAATGATTTATCTGTAAAAAACATAAAGTAAATCTAATATTATGCTTGTGGAGATATATTATATTGTGGAGAACCATCCAAACCACACAAGTGGAAAATTTGCATCCAAGTTTCAACTTGTGTGCAAATCTTGCATCCACTTGTCAACATTCTCATTATCACATTTTTCTTTAGTAGTTGTGAATTTAAAATTTTCACAACACTGTTTGCTTTCTTTTGGAATTGAAATAGTTATACAAATAGTTATATATTTTGTATCAACAAAATAACTCTTCCTACCACATTATTTAAAAAATAATAATTGTAATATATAGATGTAATATCTGAAGAGAATATAGTTTTTAATTGTATAAACTTAAGCCAATTCTTCTCTGCATTTTAGTGCAGTCAATTCTTTGGTACCTGGAAGCTAACAAACAGTTTTATCACTAATCCAATTAGATGGAATTACTTTTTCTTGTAAATCTTCATTCCAAACAGCTCCTTTCCACATATTCAACTTTTAAAAAATTACATAAACTAATAATAAAATGAAGAAACCATAATATAAGTGTACTAACAGGCCTAATTAAACTAACTAAATTTGAACATTTTATAACCACGATACTTACTAAACAATAATTAGGAGACATTATTAGCAAAGATAAGATTTTCTTTATTTTTATAAATTTATTATATTTTAAATTCATTTTTATTAATTTATTTATTACTCTATTATTCAGCAGAGTTCTGAATATATTATGTTCAAATAACTTAAGGCTCAATAACAAAGAAAAATAATGTAAGAATCCTAGGTTGCTAAAACATAAACATCTATATAAGATAATAACAAAAATTAAAAAAGAAAATATTTTAATAAATAATAAATTATCATTCAAACAATTTTAGAGACCAAAAAATAACTTGTTACTTATTTTTTACTCATCTTCATCTAATAAATATTAATACCAATTTTAGACATTATTATATTTTTTTTTTTTATTAAAAAATAAAAATAATACATCAGTTACTTTTTGGGCTTTTCTTATTTTACTTAAAACTCAATCCTAGGCTTTTTTCATAATTGAGTTTGAATTTGTAATGTTGAATTAACTTTGAAAAAAAAAAAAAAAATTAGCAGACAAAAAGAAAATATTTTTTTATTGAAATATATGTAAATATTTCAATAAAGAAATTTTAGATTGCTTTTTATAAATATAAATTAGTAACAATCAATCTAAATTTATTTCTTCTCCGCCACCTTTTCGAAAAAGCGCATTTTAAGAAGTTAGACAAAATGCCACTAATTAAAGTTTCAGTCGCTCCATCGTATTTAATAGAAGAAGCTGTAAATAAAAAAGAATTAAAAAAAAGAAAAAAAAAAAAAAAAACACAAGGAGAAATTTTTGAATATACAAAAAATAAGAATAAAAAAGTTTTACATATCTTATAAAGGTATACCTTTCACTACACCATATAAATTAGTGCTCTTAAAGCTTATTTCCACCTTTCCCCTTCATATTCATGAAGGTCATAAAATTGTTGGAATTTTAATAGATAAGAGAACTGATATTAATTATGCGAGAACTAATATTAATTTTTTTTTTTTAATTTAAATAGAACTCATTATCAAACAATTTTTTTGCTAAATAATTTAATTCTTAAAACTCTTGAATAATTAAAAATTATTTAGATTACCTCAGCATTATTTTGTGAATTCTGTCTTTTAAAGATATTCCATCAATTGCAATTGATTCACCTAAAAAAAAACATGTAAAGCTAATATTATTGTTTGAAATTTTAATTATCTTTATACAAATACTCATCATATTTTTTAAGTGACTGATAAAAATGGATTTAATTAAAATCACTTCATTTGTATTAAAAAATTAATATTAAAGCCTTAATCATACATTATACAAGAGTATTTTGTTATACAATCTAAATAGTTGTTGCGGTTTATAATTTCTTTATCCGAAATTTAGCTTCTGTAAGCTTTAGAAATTTTTTTTAAAAAATTATTGATGAATTTGGAGCTATGGGTACTAATGATTTTATATTGTTGTAATGTTTGTATTCATTCCCTGTTAGCCTCTGTAAGTCAAAATTTATTAGGTGTTTCCATAATAAACTCTGTTATATCTGAACTTTAGTGTAAGTCAGAAAAAATTTAATTTCTAAAATCTGTTTTGCATTGCCTGTCTTATAATATCTTTACTTGGAAAAAAAACCATGTGCTTTAAAAGTGAGCTAGAAGCTTTCAACCATGAAGAAAATATTGCATTCGCTAATCCTAAAAATATATTAAACTTGGATTACTGACAGCTGATCTTGTCAGCAAGATCAGCTGTCAGTAATCCAAGTATTAGCATCATTAAAAACTCATCTTTGCTGCATTACATTTATTTTGGTCCAAGTAGTTAAGGATTTTTTTAAATTTTAAAAAACAGAAGTAGATGTTTTTTTAATATCACTTTATCTTCTTTTGATTAATGGTGATACTGCACTAAATGATGAAACAGGTTGACAGATGTAATGCCAGTATGAAAGTCACAAGATCTATTATTTTTAAAATAAATTTTTGTATACAAGTAAATTGCAACAACACGATTTGTTTGGATTATGTTTATATACAAATTTGCCTGGTGCGTCTTAAAGACGAAATAACCCGGAATAACCCGAAATAACCCAAAATAACCAGAAATAACCCAAAATAACGTACAACTGTAATAAACTTAATCTATTCAAATAATTAACCAATAAGACAATATGCGTCATGATTGAAAAATAATTTAACCAAAAATAACCCCCAAAAAACCCATATTAACGTACGAATTAACAGTAATAAACTTAATCTATTTAAATTATTGACCGATAAGACAATATGCGATATTATTGACAAATTATTAAACGTACAAATAACTTTCAAATTAAATTCAAAAAACCTAATCAATTGAAATAATTTACTCAAATCACTCAAATTTGTTGACTCATATTAATAATAAAGTGAAAAATAAAGATATTCGCAACAGTGGCTCATCGGCTTACATTTAACTATTTAAAAGAAATCCAAATTGAGGGGATGCTGCGTATTATAAAATCAGTGGTATAAAAAAATGCTTTTCTGAACATTTAATAGAAATTGGGCCCCCTTGTGTGCGCCAATCATCTTTTAATTTCTTATTATTTACAATTCGTAAAGTTATAAAGTTATATTTAAAGGAGACAATCCAGTTTATTTCTGTTTATTTGCCAAAGCATGTTTTTCTTTGCTGCTTCGGCATTTTCATTGATCGTTCAGCTGTTGGCCTTTTCCTTTGACCTGGTTTCTTACTACCCTTGGGCATAGAAACTTTGAGTTTTCCGTCAGTCGATGTTAACATTGTGCTTGGTATCCTCGCACAGAGTAACTTTTTCACTGCTTTATGTCTGTCTTTAGTTGACATCTGTGACCATTGTTGTGGAGAAATAACATGCTGTTGATATTCTTGTGCCAGAGTATATGGTCCTGTGCCATAATAGCTCGCTGCAGATCCTGTAAAACAAAAAAAGATTTTACCAATGTATGTTATGAGGTTACAAATAGCATTAACATATCACTTACTTTTTGTTGAACTTGTAGTAGATTCCAAATTTTTGTAATTAGTTCCATTAGTGGTTTTGGTTTCCAATTAACTGCACATTTTAGAATATGATTGGCTGATTCAGCATTATTGTTTGTCCAATTATCTTGGACTTTTCTGCCCAGACGAGGTCTCATCACATTTTCCTTAAGTATCGGAACAAGATGTTCATCTAAATACTTTAGAAAATTGTCTCCTTATTTGTTTTTGCAGATGTTTTGGACAAACTTAATTCGTTCTTCAAATACTATCGAATCGTCTGACAACACTGCACCTTGACTTCCAAACAAACCGTTCATAACAACTTGACGCATTTCTTTTTCTAGTCCAACTTTGTCTGCCAGATATGACTCCACATTTTGTTTTATGTGTCGGATACACAAGACCTGATTGGATTCTGGAAAAGCAAGCTTTATTGCTGACATCATAGCCTTTTCTTGATCAGTTTCGAAAATAAAATTTTCAGTTTTGTATGACACTTCCTTAAATTTATTCCGTAAGTGTGTAAAGAAATGGGCGTATGTACCATCAAATGCATCACCATTCAGGAATAATGGCCCAATGAAGATTGGATTCAATTGAAGCTCTTTGTGGACTACAACCTGCATCTTAAATACTGTAACAGTGACATACACTTCTCCAAGATTAAAAGTTCGATCAACCCCAGTGATTGATGGACGAGCACTTGAACACATAGCTTTCATTTGCTGTATTGTTTCTTCCAAATAAAGAATTACATTTGAAATCTTATTCTTTGTCTGCTCTAAACTCTGCAAAAAGAGGTGATCATGAAGAACATAACTAACTTGTTGATTATTGTCTGCGAAGTTTTTTTGGTTTCCTGTTGATCTTAATGTCGTGTTTTTCATCTTATCGTAATATTTTTTGTTGCGTATCTGTTTGGGATCCCTTAGAGCATCGTTTTCTTCATGGTTTAGCAGTAGATCCTGGTAAATCTCTTGAGGTTGTCTGGTTTTTATTTGCAAGGCAATAAAACCCATGGCTGATCTGGATGTTCGTACATAAGTAGATTGTGCATTGTATATATTCTAAGTTTGGCAATGTATATATTCTAAGTTTGGCAAACATATTCTAAGTTTGGCAATGTCTCTTCTTCTATCCAACTAATGCGTCGTTTAAAGGTATTGCTTGCTCTCAAACATGTATAGTTTCGATGAAGCTGTATGACTTCAGAAGGCGATGGTTGTGGTTCTAAATCAATGTAAGTAAACTTTTTGTTACGTTTAACAGCTTTACAATATTTTTAAAGAAATTGGCAAAGCTCCACTTGCTCCTGCCCATGTCCCACAGTCATCGACAAAGCAGCTTTGTAAACCATTTGCACGTCTGTGAATATTTTCTTTATTCTTAACAAGAAAATAAACATTTTCTTTTGGAACTTTTGGAATTGTTTCTAACATATGTTTTGAAGGATTGACCAATATCTTAATAAACTCAGCAGCTTCTAGAAATTTTAGATTCTGAAGGCTGTTGCTGGCATTTTGCAATGACATTATATTTTGGTCACTGGCATCTTCTGCTTCTTTATGTAAATAATGCTCAGTTTCATTGTCTGATATATCTGTATAATTAAAAGTTATTGTGAGATTATTTTCATCGGCTAGTGATGTACTGTTTCTAAAGAAAAAAAATGTTTGGATTAATTGTCACTCACTTATAACTTGTTTGTTTTTTAATAAAGTATATTGGTTTTGTATTTTGGTTGACCTAGATGCGTTGTTTGTAAGAATAATTTATTGTGTTATTTAATCAACCTGATTCTGTCTGAAAGACTTTCATCCAAAATGTTGAAGTCGATCTCACTTGCAGGTAGACGCTTGGCTAGATAGACAATATGGTTATATACTTTTGTTTCTTCACTGGCACAAGTCCACAGTACTGCAATTTCAGGATCCAATGTATTTTTAACTCCTCGTCCATAAACAACTACATTGTAAGAATGTGCAAAATCGCAAAAACTGCTATCAGCAGGAAAAACAGAGCGAATTGGCGTTGCAAGAGTAGCACTTAATGCATAAATATATATCCACCAATTGACACGGCAGAACGCAACAACACTGGATACGTTGATGTTTCGATTCTGGTGTCCGTAATTGTTTGTGCATATTTTTTGGATGATAAATCATAGCAATCTAAAAATAAACATTTATACATTCATATATGCAATTTATATCATGGAGCATTCCATAATAGTCTACCTTGCTTTTGATATAAATGCAAGTTACTTTTTCACAATTGTGGATTCTTACTATTATTTATTCGAAACCAATAAGAGGAATGACCAGGTAATACAATTTTTATTTTTATAAACCATATTTACTTAATTAATCTATATAAATAATATATCTTACTGCTGTGCTGTATCAACTTAATGGATGTGAGAACCCTGAGATACAAATGATGATTTTCAACACCATATAAAGCTAGTGACACAGTCCGGAAGAGGCAGTTGCCGTCACCAATTGTAGATCTTGGTGTGTATTTCTGCAGAATTTAAGGTTGCATTTTGTTGATTAGAGAAATGGATATTAAATCTTCCAAACCTGGAATGAGATCTGATGGTTGAGGTTGTGGAGTAACAATATATGTTTTCAGCAACAAACGCTCAATCAAACATTGACCTGAAGTTGGCTTAGATTTCAATCTAAAATAAGTCAGTATTAAAAACAAAACAAAAGACAGTTTTCACAAAACTTGATGCCAATTGTACATATATACATGCACTCTTTGTTTTATTGAATGAAAGTTTGAAACGATTGTACAATAACATTTTTAATAGATTAAAATCTTTAATAAATTTTTAAAAGCCCTGCTTTACTTTGCTGGTAGTTGCCTCCATGGGTACCCTGTATTTTAAACAAACCTAATATATAGAACTAATAATTATTAAAAAATACCTTGTAAGACTTTTTTTCCAATTAAATTCATTTCCAACATGGTAACAGGGCTGGCAAAAAAACTCAATTTCGGGGTTTTCCATTGATTTAAAAGTTCTTCATTCATCTCAAGGCAGGTTTTGTGAACCCACTTTTTACATGTCCCACAACAAATTGTTCCATCTCCACACTCTTTGAAGCACATTACACAAGGGTATTTGACTTGATCTTTTTTTAATCGCTTCATATTGAAATAAATACAAAACGAAAGTCGTACAAAATAGAAAAATGAGCTTTTAAAAATCTAACCGCAAATTTTGAAGAATTATTTTAAACAAGACGTCGACAAAAAGCACTGTCGAAGTTCGTTGAATTCATAAAAATTCGGTAAATAATTATACTATTTGCTTTTTGTAACACTATTCTTTAAAAAACTTAACTTTTCGAAATGATTTCAACACAAACATTTCCCTTTGGACATTATCATTAGCAGTATGTACAATACTTTCGGGACATTGGTAATGTTTTAAATAAATATAATTCCATTTGGAAATTAAATCCGCACAAAGGAATTTGCGTGAATTTGCACTTAACAGCTGTTAAGTTAGAAGAAGTTTAAAACTTCATTTATAACTAACAAGTTAAACTATAAACAAAAAAGTTCAAGATTATAGTTATGATATAATCTTGAACTTTTTTGCGCATCATTTTATCATTTAAAATTAATCATTGTTGAAATGTTCAATCACGTGTTTTGCAGATCAGTGCTTTCAACGGGGCCCGTTTCCTAATAGGTGTCTTTTTTGTTTCCATAAATGTTCAAATAAGTATTTTTTGAATCACTGAATTTTTATTATGCGGAATGCCCTTAATGCAACATCTTCTTTATTTGAGTTTTTTATAAACTGTTGGTCAAATTATTTGAATAGGTTAAGTTTATTACAGTTAATTCTTACGTTATTTCGGAATATTTTGATTTATATTGGGTTATTTTGGGTTAATTCGGGTTATTTTGGGTTAATTTGAGTTATTTTGGGTTATTTTGGGTTATTTCTAGTTAATTATTTATCAATCATATCGCACATTTTAATATCGGTCAATTATTTGAATAGATTAACTTAATTACAGTTAATCGGTACATTTTTTTGGGATTATTTTGGGTTAGTTATTAGTCAATCATATCGCATATTGTATTATCGGTAAACTTTTAATAGATTAAGTTTATTAAATTTTTTTTGGTTATTTCGGGTAATTTTGCGTTATTAAGGGTTAATTATTCTACAATCATGTAGCATATTGTCTTATCGGCCAATTATTTGAATAGATTAAGTTTATTACAATTAATTTGTACGTTATTTCGGGTTATTCCGGTTTATTTCGTCTTTAAGACGCACCCCTGGTTTTATAGTAATAACTGATGTGGTTGAAGTTAATTTTTCATATTAATCTTTATTTTTTTTATTTCGTGCTGAAGTTCTTTTTTAAAGTTATCAATTTCTTTTTTTAATTCTTGATGCTCTTTTATAAAACAACACTTAACATTAAATTCAACATAATTTAATAGATCATTTTTTTAAAAAGTTGTATTATTTACATTTAATAATATAAGTCTTTGAAGATTGTAGCCCAAGTTAAACAAAAAATATCGATTTTTAAACGATAATGCTCTTTCAGGAAAATCGTCTGAACATGTTTTCGATCTCTTGAAAATTCTATATGTTATAAGTTCAGCATTTACTTTTTTTTCCATTATAAATCTCTTTAACTTAAACCTTTGAAGTAATGTTTACGTTTTTACTTCCATTTCTGCGCGCGCATAAATTTTATATCGAAACTGTGAAAAGGTGTATTTTTGTCAACAATGATTTAACGTTGAAATAACGTTAAGTAATCAACGTTTAAACTGTAACGTTGATTTAACGTTGTGACATAGTTGAACAACGTTGAAACAACGCTTTAACCGAATTTCAACGTTGAAACAACGTAATGATGCCGGCTGGGTTGCCTCAAAAACAAAAGACCCGTTGTTCGAACCCCACCTCCGAGCAAATTTTGCGACATCGGTTAGGAAGGAGGCGTGAGTTCCTCCTATAAAATACTCTTCCGCGGCACTCTGTGATAAGACCGTAAAGGACTTCTTGGGCATCTAAAATATAATTTTAAAAAAATGATTAAAATGATACAACTAAAAAAAGCAGAATTATTTTATCGCGTAACTTTTTATTTTATTAAAAAACAGAATTATTTTAAGTTTTTCAAAAACGCGCGATTTTTAAAGGAAATTCTTTTATTTTATGGTTTTATTTTATGGTTTTAGCATTAAATTTGAATTAAAAACTGACATTTTTTTTTAATCGGATGATTTTCTAATGACTAATCAGATTTAGACTTAAATTACATTAGTCAAGCAGATGTTTTACATAGCAACTGTGCCAATGAAATAAAAGAGTTCTATGTTCATAGTTCTATAAAAGCTATGCCAATTAAATAAAAGTGTTCCTCATAAAGTTTTATAATGAGTTATTTGAACACGGTGCTTTTCCTATATTTAATAAACCAACAAAAATAACTCCATCGTCAACAACGTTTAAAAAACAATTTTTTAATGTTGCTTATTTAGAATCATTTTAAGATCAATTATCTTTGCCTATTTGGAATGAAATATATCTGTTCCCAGTTCGGTTTGCGTAAACTTATTGCATTGCATTCTGGTGTCGCTTAAGGGGTGATAGTGTGTTATGTCTAGATCATATCCCACTTGCAACAATTTTATGGTATTTTTATTTTGCGAGCAAGGCGATAGTGGACTGGAATGCTTCATCTCCAGACCAAAACCCTCAGTCAATGTTTGTTCAGTGTCTATCCCTATATCAATCATTATATGTACATTCTACTGAGCCTGTTCCTAAATCAGTAGATATATGTACACTCACTACCTTTATCTCTAAATATTTAACTGTTCGGCAAATTACTAAACTCGTCAGGGTTAGGGTTAGGGGTTAGGGTCAAAATCATTGCGAGTAGGATATGATCTAGACACAACCTTGATAGTTTTTTAGTGATTGTTTACACTTTTATTAAAAGCTTTTGGCTGTAAATTGAGCAGCTTTTGGCTGCAAAATGAGCTGTGGTTAGAG